AGGCTCGAGGTGCCGGAACGCGTCGAAGCTCGCATGTTGTGCTTCATGTTACCGATGAGTCGATTTGTAGAGCCTAGCTTCTCATGGGCGAGCTTGGAGAGGCCGGTTACTGGGTCGTCGTACTCGATGCACTTTCGGTACATTACTGCGGCTTTTTGGAACCTATCGAGCTAAGAATTGAAGCGAAGCTATAGGTGAAAACGCAAGAAGACGCACATGTAATCTTCGAGGCACAAATTTCCAGTGTCTAGCGCCACCTTTGACCGATCGCTGCCACCCTCATCAAACTCTAGGGCATCAATCCAGGCTTGGACGGCCTCGCCCCTTCGTTGTTTTGTCACTAACTTGTCGATATTCCCCAGGGTCAGGTATACAGTGCCAAGATTAACCAGAATGACAAACCGTGATCGGTTGTCCATGTCCATTGACAGTGCATCGAGGTACTTGGGGACACATTCCTCATAACGACCCATCTACATATAAGAAACCTACCGCTATTGGATCGCGATGAGGAGCACCTTATTCATGCGATTTGCCTCGAGTATGATCGTTCCCACCCGGGGATGGTTCATTTTTAGCGCGACAAGGACTAGACCACGGATATTTCCGTCCACGTCGGGCCCGGCCGGGGGGTAGGGGTGGTGGTTGAGGGGGGCAAGTGGCGCCCTTGGCCGTTTCGGCGCCCTCGGGACGAGGGCCACCTCCCCTCAGCCGGCGCCCTCGGACCCTCGTACGGCGGAATCGGCGCCCCCGGACGAGGACTCGGTCGTCGGACGAGAGCTAGAGAGATAGACTTGAGGGGAGATGGCAGTGTTCCTGACTTAGACTGAAAATGGACCGCCGCCGCCGCCGCCGCCGTCGTCGTCGTCGCCGCCGTCGTCGTCGTCACGCGCGCGTGGAAATTCGAACCCACAATCAAGAAAAAAGGATGTCCGGACGTAGCATTTTATTCCGTCCGAAGGACGAATTCGTACATAAACCACACGAAACGACCATTGACCCAGGGGCTGCCCCGTCGGACGCGAAGATCGCGACCGGAACACTATGTAACGCGACGCGCGCACGATGTCATGACGCTGAAACGCACTGTGTCATGGCATGATGTTCAAAGCGACTCCGGGCCCACCCCCTGGGCCCCGGTCGTAGCATGACGTGCGCAGGGGCGCTTCAAGCAAATCAATTCAGCGTCCGAGGGTTAGAGTGTGTTCCCGCTGTGCCGGCACACGCCCAGGCCCCGGCCCCGTCGACTTTGGGCCCGACCAAACGTGCCGGCACACCGACAAAACGCTATTTCTGGTT